TCACACAGAAGAAACTTAATCAAGCCGGACCCCCCTCCCAAAGGACAGCCTCCAGGGAGGAGAGATGAGAGAAAGGGGACCTTGCTTCGTTTTCTCCAGCCCTGTGGGTGGCCGTGGGCTTCAGGGGATGGGTGATTGGCAGCTGTCTTCAGAGCCCCTGCCTGTGTCCCCCCAGGAAACAGCAACTTGGCCTGCCTTGTCTCCTGTCTGAGCCAAGTCGCCCCAGGGGACAGCCAATGTGTGCAGGCAGCTTAGCAGCTCGTCCTTCTCATTTTATATGTATGTGGTTATTTTTGCCCAGAAAAGGTAAGCCAGGGCTGAAATCCGAGGTGCTCTCTGGTGGATTTTCATTCTCTGCCCGGAAGGAGAAGGTGTGTGTGCATGTGTGTGTGTTGGGCGTAAGGGATGGGTTTGAACAGCCAGCTGCCGGAGCCGCTCCGTCTCTTCTCCTGGGACTCACTCCTTCTCTTCCGCAGGGCAACAGGGCAGGGCTGGCCTGATGAAAGAGCCCACGTGGCCGTCCTGAGGCCCTAAGACCTGGAGACGGCTCGAGCTCTCCCTGAAATCTGATTTTCCTCCGAGAAAAGCAAACCCAGCAGCCTTGGAACGAATCCTCTCTCATCTGTCAGCACAGGCTGGGGTGTTTGGCCTTTCCCTGACCTCAGGCTTGCCCTTTCCTGACGTGGAAGGGGCTCCCTTCATGGACTTTAATTTCCCCCAGGTGCAAGATGGGAATGGGAAGCCAGAGACTGGACAAACGCTACACATTTGTGGAGTGCTAGGGTCTAGATTTGTCCTTGCCACCAGCCTTTCCACTTGAGGAGGGGACCAGGCCCACCGGGCTCTCAGCATCCCAGCCTTGCGCACGTGGTCCTTCCTGTCCCCACCCTCACTCCGCACGTTTCTCTCATGCAGACCAGTCACGTGATGGAGACCATGGGCAAGCTGACCCAAACGCTGGACTACCTGCATCAGGAGGTGAGGTTTGCAGCCTCCAGAGCCCCGTAGCACCCAAGACCCAGAGCTTCCTTGCAGGGGCCTTTGTTCTCAAATGGCCGCCCTTCGGGCTGAGGGAACGTAGCTTCTTTGGGGGAGATCAATCCACAGGGGATGGGAAAGCCCCAGCAAAGTCAATGGATGCAGGAGTGGAGTATAGATCTTTCATCATGGGAGAGAGATTTCTGAGGGAGAGAGTCCCTGTTGGAGGGCTCAGGGGCCCTGCTCCTCCCTGAGGTCCCTCTCTGACTCAGTCCGGGGCAGGCGAGGGCAGACGGGAGGGGTCTGCGAGCCTTGAGGCCGCCCTTTCTGGAGTGAGTGTGATGACCACCGAATGTTCTGGAGAGCCCGATGGCTCCCTCCTTCCCATCTGCTCCCGGGATCCGCTCTTCTGTGGGAGAGGAGCTGTCCATCTCTCCACGGTGGGCTTCTCCCAGTTGGCACCATAGTGCCGGACAGCAAGGAGGGGCCTTGTCCACGAGGGAGGGTGAACGGAGCCTTGCTGGGATGGCC